ATAGGAACTAACATTCACTCTGCTTGCTCAAAACACAATATGCATGCTGAAATGTGTGTCATGTTTTGATAGTTGTCAACAACTACTTTAAACCAATGATTCCCACACACAGGAAAAACGGTTAACAACTAAAAAATTTAATGTTTAGTTGTTGACAATTCATCTCATACACTAACTGTTTTTGTTTTCGATAATATTTAGCTGTTGATAGCCAGTAGTTGTCAAAAACTAAGTGTCCTGTCTGTGGAGGGCCTCAGTAGTGATAAGAAAATTCTGGTAAAGCTGAAAGTAACAAGGGTCATCATTTTAGGAACTTTACAAGAATGCAAGATTTCTCCCAACAAAATGCAACTATTTTTGAAATGTTTTTCAATCCTGGTAATAAAATTGGCTCCAATCCCCAGTAAAAAAAAAAAAAGCCCAGCTCTCACATTTTATGACTACATGTATAAGTTTATTGTATGTGCACTCTGACTAGCATGCATTTTTCTCCTTGTAGGCAGAAGATTTATACAAGAATGGTAAGTTCGTTGTGTGCTTGAAGGAAATCTGCACTTTTTAAATAACCGCAAAATATTGTCAATTTTTGTGACTAGTATTATTCAACTATTGATAATGTTTTTATCCAGAGCCAGTACCTATGCAGTTTATCTACAGAACAAGAGACAAGGTTTGGGATTTTTATGAGGTAAGCATATTAATTGGGGCTTTTGACACAGTACAAGGTTTGACTAAAGTGCCGTCCGGTCGTCCGACACAGGTAGATTTTCCTAATGGGCTAGTAACTTTTCATACCCACTTGCCTGATGGGCAAGGACCTAGGCAAGTCACCTGCCAACTAAATTTTAAAAAGAGCAAACTAAGCCTTGCCCAGGGAAAGCAAAATTTGAGAGCTGCTTGTTCAAAGGGCAAGCTGGAATTCAAGTTTTTTTAAGCCCTGCAGTGCCTGTATATGGTTACAGCCTTCGTCCTTAACAAACCACAGAGAGTATAATTATTAGTCAAGTTATCATTGAATCATAAAGAATTATCTGATAAATTTGTTATTGCCACAGAGAACTTACAATGGGAATTTCATATAGTGTGATGGTCTGGGTGAGGGTAGTTCTGAAAAGAACTGTTGTTGGTGACT